GTTTCAGTAAAGCCCATACGTCAAAACGAGTACAGAAATGTAGCCTCTAGTACGGCCTTGCTCTTTTTATTTCTGCTACTAAAAATAATTACACATGTTGGAAAAGAGATATATAGGCCAATGCATGATGGCATGGATATCATACATCAATGTTGGTTGCTTTCCCAAAGCGCTATACACTACTTAAAATACAACCAATTTTTGGGCAAAAATATTAACTATTTACGATCAAAAACACATGCTACCCCAATCAGTGGAAGGTGACGACAATGGACAGTCATAGAGCAAAAGAGCACTTTAATTGTTTATTATTTGTTTACAATTTCCTATTTATTATATCTACTTTGTAAAGTAAGGTACTCTACCACCAGGTAGAAGTCAGTTTAACATAAAAAAAGTTTTGTAAAACTTTCTGGTCCAGGATCAAATTCCAAATACTTCACCCCCCTCATTTGACATGCCAGATGACATTCTTAATTTGATCCAATTTGTAAAAGTTGAAGACTCTGACCATAGTGGTTGGATAGAATCATTAATTAAACAAGGTCCCATATTAAAAAATCAACAACGGGCACCCTGGATTACCAAATGTATTCACATCATGTGCCATTCATAACAATAACCAAATCTGTAGCATACCAATGGCTTTCTTAATATTCCTAATAATAAAAATTTCTAAATGATATACACAACCCACATATATAAAATGATTTGCCAAATGTTAGCTTTGCCTGAATAATACATTTGGACAGTACTGAGCCCGATTACAGTCATATGGCCTGTCATGACTAGGAATATCTTAATATAGAAACATTCAATGAGGTATGATCATTTCAGAAACTGAAAGCATTCATAGAATTGCCAGGAAAGCTAAGGGCAACTCATGAAAGCGCATTGAAGAAAACATACATACTTCTTAATTTCCTAGTTTGAATTTAAAGCATAGAGTTCAAAGGCAAGAACTTTAACTATGTTCACTGTATCATGGAAAATGAAAAGGATCCTCCAGGAAACAACTAATTGTAGACCTGCAGGATTGGACTTCCTGCACTAGGACCTTCTATGGTCATGGTCTAGCACAGATGACAATATAACCCTAAATCAACACATTCACTATTCCTAGAAAACTCCAGAAGGTAAAACACATTACAGAATTACAAAAAACATACTTACTATTGCTTATATTTTTGTGTTTTCCTGTTATTTTCTAAAATCGTAGTATGCAAGTCTTTCGGCACACTGCTGTTATTGGCACCATTGGAAATTTCTTTAGTTCATATCAGACCTCAGTCATGTAAAGTTTTGTTTTGCATTGGCCATAGATAGTAGAACCAAAGTGAACATGTTATTAACATCTTTTATATTGACTCAATGCGATTGATTAGCTAAATCACAATTTATGTAAGCTTAGTGAATCAATCACATACAAAAGAAATTCCTGTTTTGTGCAATTCCACTCAGGTTTTGGGTTTCAAAATGAACCCAAGTCCACCAAGCTAAGTAAAAAGGTGTACTTGTTAAATCATCTACAATATATTAGTCACAGATGTGTGTGACTACTTAGCTCTCTATAAAATGTTTTCACCTATATTTTCACTTTTCTCTTCAACACATTCAAGTCAGCCATAAGCCAAATCACACATTCGTGCACTCAGCAGCAAAATAGATAACATTGTATGTAGCAAGTGTGTTAAGTTTTTTTTTCTTCAATTACATGCTGGGTAGGAGAGGCTGCTATGTGCTAACCTTGGCAGACCCTCTATTTAGTGGTTATGTACTCTCCGTCCACATCAGGGTGGGACATTGGTATTCTTGACATCAATGTACAACGGGGAACAGAAAATTGATGTTGCGCTAATCACAATAATGCCAAAACAAATAATGAGATGAGAAGACAATAGATAATACACCATAACATAATCAGTAAATGGAAGGAATATGAGAGTGAAGGGAAAGCTGAAATAATAAAGGTCCAAAATGAGGACCAAAAGGTGTAACAGACAATAAATCGTGACCATGAGCAAAATGCACGGAAATGATCAGGCAGAAATAAAATATTAACTAAATCACAGTAAAAGTGGGACATATGAGTTTGTCACAACATAAATGAAATAATGTGACTACAACTGATGAGAAAATGGAGCAAAATGTGAAAAATACTAAATTAAGTGCTTAAAATTAAAAGTGGACAAACCACTTATCACAGAAGAATGACAATAACAACGCACAGTGAGGCCAAAAATTGTGGCCATGCAACTAAAGAGTCATACCACAATGTGTATCAAAAGGCCATGTGACATAAAACGACTAATAAGTGACCATATAAATATCATAAATAAATATGGCAAACAGCCAGCTCACAGCAATGGGAGCAGATCAAACAAGGCATCAATCAGGTACCCTGAAGAAGTCACGTGACAGTGATGTAACGCGTAGGTTGGAGAGCGGAATGTGGTGACGTAATTTCTGACACGAACGGCCGCAGCCATATTGGTACACCCAGTACACCCATATCAACACATGTGATTGATGCCTTGCTTGATTTGTTCCCATTGCTGTGAGCTGGCTGTTTTTTCTAGTCCAACGAGCCCCTGGCAGGAGTTCTGTGTGCTGGCGGAACAGTATGGTCCACCAGTGAGGGAGATATCATCCCTACATCATCGTTTGGGATTCCACTTAAAGGGCCCCTGCAGTGAGTGTCCTGAAAGCCTTTTGGCCTCTTGGGGTCTGAGCACGGAGGTGAGGCAATTTAGCCAGTGTGGGATTCAACAATCATTTACCAATCCACGTTGTGTTTTTTTTTTTTTTTTTTTATGTGTTTTTGTTGGACGTTTTTGCACATGGACTTTATGTCGTATTTACGATTTTTTTAGTCACATGTTATTTATTTCTTCATTGTGTTATTCTATTTTACGGTGCACAGTAATACATTCATTTGGGTTCACTGTGGTTTATTCATCATTTTCTGTTTTTCCTATATATTTATTTTTATCCCTCTTTCATTTTTCATTTGTTTATCCCTTTTCTCTTTTATCCATTTATTATCCCTCTTTCCTGGAAAAAACAATTAGCAAGAAAAAAAAAGTAATATAGTGTATACAATGGAGGCTCAAGTCTAATTGTAACTGAATGTTATTAAAAATTACTTTTATTTTTCAATCTGCAGCACTGTAATTTTCTGAACAATGCAGTGCAATATGGCCACCAGGAGCTGTTCTGTACACAGAATGTCATTTCCTGCTTGATTGATTGTCTTACTGGTTTTCCCAGAAGTCTGCACTAAGATAAGATACAAGTAAGATTTTTGGCATCCTCTGCAACAAAAATGGGGAAATCAAGTCTAAAGGTAAGCAGACCTTACCAAGGTCATCATTAGAGCCCTGCAAGTGCAGCAGCTGATTGATAATTATAAAACCATTCCCATGCAGATTCACTCTGCACATGGACACAGACAAACAAACAGCTATTTCTTCAGAATAACAAAAGGTAGGACTCTGCAACAAAGTTTGGTCAAATCCCTGCAATCCCTGTACAAAGATCACCCAGAGGGGAATGTTTTTCTTAACTTCTCTTGCCGACCAGCCACTGTAGAAATACGGTGGCAGGTTGGCACGGCTGGGCAAAACCATGGTGTAAAACGTGTGTTTGCAAAACAGCTAGGGGGGCGCGCACGAGGCACGTGCCCGCCCTACCCGTCCCGTCGATCGCGGCCGCGGGTGTCAGTCGCCGGGTCACGGCTGGTTATTACCTACCGTGTCCCGGCGATTAGCGGCAATCACTGACAGAGAGGACGGCTGCAGTGTTTACACTGCACCTCTGCTGTCTGTCAGTCCCCTGTCAGCTCCTGATATGCTGATCCGGAGAGAAGAGTTTATCTCTCCGGATCAGCCTTGTTCCCCTGCAGTACACACCCCGCCCCCTAGTAAAACACTCCCCTCACACAGTTAACCCTTTCAGTAAATAAAAAAAGTTAACCCCTTCCTCCCCAGTGCCATTAGTACAGTGTCAGTGTTTTTTTTTTTTGCACTGATCACTGCATTGGTGTCACTGGGGATGTCAGTGACCCCAAGTCAGTTCCCTCCCAGTGTCAGAATGTCCGCCGCAGTCCTGCCATAAGTCGCTGATCGCCGCCATAAGTCACTGATCGCCACCATAAATTGCTGATTGCCGCCATTATTAGTATAAAAAAATTAAAAATCCCAGTATCTTTCCTGCCATTTTTAAACGCTATAACTTTCACGTAAACCAATTTATTTACATGTATTGGGTTTTTTTTTTAGCAAAGACATGTCGCAGAATACATTTTGACAGAAATTTATGACTAAATTTGATTTTTATATTTTCTTTTACTGGACATGTTTTATAGCAAAAAGTCCAAAATATAGTTTTTTTTCCTCAAAATTGTCAGCCTTTTTTTTTATAGAGCAAAAAATAAAAAATGCACAGGCGATCAAATACCACCAAAAGAAAGCTCTATTTGTGGGAAAAAAAGGATGTAAATTTCATTTATGTACCATATTGCATGACCGCGCAATTGTCCGTTAAACTAGTGCTGAAAAAAATGGCGTAAATTGCAGTATCTATACCATAGTTTGTAGACGCTATAAACTTCCACACAAAGCAATCAATATACACTTATTGGGATTTTTTTTACCAAAAACATGTAGCAGAATACATTTTGGGCTAAATTTATAACCAACTTTGAGTTTACTATATATTTTTTATAGCTGAAAGTAAAAAATATTGTTTTTCTTCAAACTTTTTGATCCATGGGACACAGCCAATGACATATCACTACACTGGCCTGTTGTCAGTGTTATGTGACCGCTGTGACCAATCATCGGCATTTCTCTCCTCTCAAGCTGTCACGCTGACAGCTCGAGAGGAGAGGAGAGCCGGTAATCGGCTTTCCGCGGAGGGGACATGTACACTGATCATCAGGGCACTGATGATAAGTGTGCCCTGATGATCAGTGTGGCCCCAGAAGTGCCACCTGTCAGTGCTCATCAGTGCCACGTGCCAGTGCCCATCAGTGCCACGTGCCAGTGCCCATCAGTGCCACATCAATGCCACATATCAGTGCATACCAGTGCACATCAATGCCACCTATCAGTGCCCATCTGAGCTGCCTTTCAATGTCACCCATCAGTGCCAGTCAGTGCCACCTATCAATGCCAATCAGTGCCACCTATCAGTGCTGCCAATCAGTGCCACCTATCAGTGCCAGTCAGTGCTGCCTATCAGTGCCAGTCATTGCCACCTATCAGTGCCGCCTATCAGTGCCGCCTATCAGTGTCATGTATCAGTGCTGCCTTTCAGTGCCCATCAGTGATGCCTGTCAATGCCCATCAGTGCCACCTACCAGTGCCTCCTCATCAGTGCCCATCAGTGCCACCTATCAGTGTCCATCAGTGCAGCCTATCAGTGCCCATCACTGCAGCCTCATTAGCGCACATCAATGAAGGAGAAAAATCACTTATTTACAAAATTGTATAACAAAAACTAAGAAAAAAACGTTTTGTTTACAAAATTTTCAGTGGTTTTTGGTTTGTTTAAGAAAAAATAAAAAATCCCAGAGGTGATTAAGTACCACCAAAATAAAGCTCTATCTGTCTCAAAAAAATGATACAAATGTCATATGGGTACAGTGTTGCATGACCGCGCAATTGTCATTCAAAGTGTGACAGCGCTGAAAGCTGGAAATTGGCCTGGGCAGGAAGGGGGTATAAGTGCCCTGTAGGCTAGCGGTTAAAAACAGTTTTATTTATCATTTTAAAGTAACAGATCCTTGCACTAAAGGTCAAGATTTGTATTTGAATGCTATAGGCTATAGATTTGTAGAAAGCATTTGATAGTTTCAGCTGCTCTGATTTCATCACGTCATTTTCCCCTAACATTGCTTCAGTATAAAGTCAAAATATGTCTTATCTCTGTTTTACACCAGCTAGAGCAGGGAATTGTTTTTAGCTAAGCATTAGTAACTAATAGGATCACTGATTGAGAAGATGGAAATGTCATAAGCTGAAAATGATTATGACACTTGCAGGATTTAAGCTGTCTACACAGCACATTTGTTGGAGAATCTGCAAAATTACATTTTTCTTTTTTTAATTATATTAACAAAAACGCACTGAGCAGAACTGATATAAAACTTGTTATGTGCCATTGTTTAGAACTGTTATTAACTGGGAATTTAACAGACTGTCCCCTTGTTTTTAATAAAAAATAGGAATGTAACAATTTTTTTTGTCATTATTTAGCTTACGTGATTAAAGGGTCTGTCTACCCAAAAGGATGAAGTCTGGTGGCCTAAATCATTGCTTGGTTTCTTGTACATCATTGGAACTCTAGTGGTGACATTTCCAACCCACCTGGGAGTTTGTTTATGTATTCCTAGCCCACTCAGAGATGTCCTCATACTGCCTGTTCATAATATAATATACATTTAAATCCAGCAGGGAGAGTGGGAACCCCTCCTAATGGCTGTGGCTGCTGTACAGAGATGGGAACTCAAGCAAAGAGATCTCATCAGCAAAGTTGCTAAGAGATATAAGAAACGTTTAGGCTGTTAACTCTCCAGCATCTAATGAAAACCAAAATATCAGAATGTATGTTCAGCTGCAAAGCTGCATACAATTATTTTCAAAGAGTAACACATTACTCCACAAAAGATCAAGCTAACATATGGGCTTAAAGTAGTTGTAAACCTCAGGCATGAAAATATGAACAAAGCATATCCGTCTAAAATGTGTACTTGTCTCAGTTAGGAACAATAAGTGTCATTTCTGTCTGCTGCTTTGTTCCTCTGCTATCAGCATGAATCGCTTCTGAAAAGGTTTTCCTGACACCAAGAGAAAAATGGTGACAGGGGAGGGACCTTCAGAAGACTGACAGCCTCAGCTCTGTTCCTGTGAGCTGTGTGGAAGGGGGGGGGGGGGGGGGTAATCTCATTCCTCCAATCAGCTCTCAGAGCTCTCCTCACTGAGATCTGCAGTGTGTGATTTCAGCTTTCCACCCCATTTTTTCTGAAGACAAGCTTTACAAATTCAGCACTTTGAATGGATGTAGAGAAAGGATAACTGCAGATAAACAAGTACAAGCTATGTAGGAGAATTTGTTTAATGTCTGTGCATCACTTGAGGCCAGTCACCAGGTGAAAATATAGGGAAAATATAGGGAAAACTGGAAAAAAAAGAAAACTAATGTTGCCACCATATCTAAGGACTGATAAGGTGCAATAAGTAAAGTTTTTGTTCTTTGGTTTAGATACACTTTGCTTTTTCAGGGAGTGTTCTTAGTGGAGTGTACCAGTCCTTAAATACAATTTAACAGATGCCCTCCGGGAAGGCTACTTCAACAGTGCCTTCCAGAGAGATGTCAAATCCAAACTGCAAGATCTTGTGAGATCTTGTGAAATAAAAAGATTACAAAGATTAATGTAATATTATATGGCACATGTAAACTATGAGGTGTATGACACCATGTGCCTCATCTCGCACATGCACTGTACAATATTATATGTTTTTTAAAAAAATGTTTTCCCTGAGATCATTTTTTTCTCCCAGCAGGGTAAAAGGTTGCAGCGCCTGTGCAAGACAAGGCACTTGACATCATCATCGACTGGCATATTCCTTTTCCTGGCCTATCAATGATCTCCAGAACAATATATTCAAGGAAGCGCTGGGAACTTTAAGACTTGCAAGTGTAGCCAGATGAAGGAAAACTTGAAAGAAGCTCAATGGCTCTGGTTAGGTTGCTCCCACACAGCAAGGCTTCCCTTGATGGGCATCTGGAAGCGACGTAAACCATACCAATACAGAAATGAGCACCAGATCAAAATCAGATAAAACAGTCGAAAATAATTTTAATTGTCAATTAAAAAAAGTCATCTTAAAATTTGCAACGTGTTTCAGGGCTAACACCACTCTAAATTCAGCTCCATTGCTGCTCAATATCTGTTGTCAGGTTGTTCTTCTATGGGGAGATCTCAATACTGGTTTTAATATAGGTTCACAAAGTCACTGGTTTCTCTGAGTCTATCAAAGTATTATCTTGTGTTGAGCCCTGATGAAGGGGGAGCTACTCCCAAACATGTTGGCTGTTGTTAGACTTTTTTTTTTAATCAAAAATGAAAACTATCTTGAGCTCTTTTACCTGGTCTGGCACTCCTTTTTGTATTATTATGGCCCACCAATGATGTAATGTGCCTCATCTTGCGTAGTCAGGTTTATTGGGTTGGTGCGGGTCCACAGGTTGGTGGGGGCTTGTTCAAATATCCAAAAAATGTGGGCCACAGAAACTCCAATCATATCCCCCCAGGCTGGTGGGTGATGAGCACTCCACCAGCCTGAGGGGGTTATACACCAGCCAGGGGGAGTTGGAGTGCTCATCACCCACCAGCCCAGGGGGGGGGGGGAATATGGTTAGAGTTTCTGTGGCTCACATATTTGGATATCTGAATGAGTCTTCCCTATGTGTGTGGCTTTTGGATTTTTTTAACTTTTATCTCCCCTTGGCATGATCCAATTTGCTTTTTGGCCAGAATATCTACACTTTGGATTCAACAAATTTTGGATAGTCTAGTGCATATTGTGGGCTTGTGTGGAGAGCGCTCTCTGGGGACACTCAACCTCATATACACCTTCTTTGACATTACTGCATTATTGTAAATTAACAATGAGAATAAACCCTCTAATGAAGACAATGTTAACTGCAAGTTGAAAAACTTTGGTGTTTCATATCTGTACATCTGATATTCTCTTTGTGAAACATTGGCTATTTGTTTTTATGTTTGAACTATGAGTCATTTTTAGGCTTTTAATGATGTTATTTCAATTGTATGTATACAACTAATATAGCCTTATTGGCATTTTTTTTGTGTTTTGGTGCTAAATAAAACTTTATAAATTAAACATTTTTCTTTTTAAATTATATCTAATATAGATTTATTATTTCTATTTAGGGGTACCTTAAAGTCCTGTGTTCCCCTTTTTTATTTCAGGATTCTAGCAGATTTGGGATGTGGTACCGCTTTAATTCTGGTTGGGTATAGGAACATGTAATGATACATTCCGCATCAATAATTAAGCTACCAAAATTAATGTGTACTGTAAATTGCCTCCAGCATTGTTCCTGTTTCTTCTTGCTAGAGGCTGCCATTTTGTTGAAGCCCAGACCCCCTGAGCAGCAGTTAATCTTTAGGCTGTCAGAAGATCTGCCTCTACATTTTCGACACAGTGCCTAAAAATAGAGAGCAACTAAGCATGTGCAGAGCAGGGTGAGACAGTGTATTACTGGATTTTAAATAGTATAGGGACTTATTTTTAATGTTTTACATATGTAGCTCTACCTGCAAAAGGGGCCAGTTTGAAGTCATCTAGCAGGACTTAATGTTCTGATTAAACTTCCATTTTAAGATCATTGCAATAAATTGTGCAGCGTCATTCTGATCCAGATCTTGATATGTCTGATCCTTTAATATGCTCCTTCAGGCACGTGTACTCAGGGGCGGATTGACAACTCATCGGGCCCCCGGGCAATAGGGGATCATGGGGCCCCTGTGTCCTTGCCCAAACTCAAAAAAGCCTATGAAAAAAGGTACCAGGGGCATCTCATGGGACCCCCTACTGACCCCGGGCCCTTGGGCAGTGCCCAAGTTTCCAAATGCTCAGTCCGCCCCTGCGTGTACTGTATTACAGGAGAAGGTTTGCTTACAGGAAAAGTCTTATTTATTTCTCACAAAACTGGGAACAATCCTATTTCTTTCACTACTACAAAACTTGAACAGTGATCGCCGAGTGTTCTTGACAGCCTTGCGCTTCCTGCTAATAAAAAACTAGCACTGGAAAGGTCCTTGTAGGGACAAGCTATAATTTTTCTTGTCATTTTAACTTTGGCAAAGGTTTTTTTAGTGATAAATGATGATTCTGTAAGAGCCATTCCAACACCATTTTAGTCAACTCACTGTATTAAACACATTTTAAGAGCTGCCATTCTGCAAGAAGTTGGAGGGTTTTTAAAATGAGGAACGGTACAATTTCCAGAATTTTGAACCATTACATTACAATAACAGCTTCACAGCAAGAGTTGTTCTAGTCAAACTTCAAAATGACTATTTCAGTAGTAATCAAGCAATCTAAATTACGATCATTATAGTATTTGTCTATGTGGATTTTATGTTCAGTCCAGGCAATGGTTTAATCAGGCAACTCAAATGAAACAGTTGGCAAAACTGAATAGAAGCATCTTCAAAGGGCCACTTTCTGTCTACTGAGGGCAACACATACTTCATTCCAATATAAGATAATCACACTTTGGTAATTAACATGATTGTAATAATTGCAGCTTATGTTTTATCCTTGAGTAGGGGACATAAAACATTTCAATTTGTTTTTGGATAGAGTTGGTAAGTAAAGTAGAGCTAAAGGCAAAACATTTTTTTGGTCTAGGGGGCTGCAGAAAGCAGTTTTTCCTACCCAATACTCCCGTTCCCTCCAGGCTGTAAGACTGATCCCAGCAGCCTCTTCTCTCCTACGCTCTAGGGGTCCTCTGACGTCAAGTCTAATGTAGACCCCATAGCCCTGCATAGGACATGAAGAAGCCAAGAGACAAAGTCTGCTGCCACAGCATAGGGGAGTAGTGGAGAGCGCCAGGTGCCAGGGAAGTGGGGGGTCAGACAAGTTAAAAAGGTTTTTTGTAGCCCCTTGGACTTAAACACACATGCAGGGGTGGACTGACAACTCATGGGGCCCCCCCGGGCAATAGGGGATCATGGGGCCCCTGTGTCCTTGTCCAAACTCAAAAAAGCCTATGAAAAAGGTACCAGGGGCATCTCATGGGGCCCCCTACTGACCCAGGGCCCTCGGGCAGTGCCCAGTTTCCAAATGGTCAGTCCGCCCCTGCACACATGTAACCCTTGCAGTCCACAGGCAGCCACACTGCATAAGAGTTTTTTTTTTTCCTTTGCCCAGCGATGGACTTTAATGACATCTTTGATTATATATTATTATTTTTATGCTATAATTAAAGTGTTACTAAACCCACAACAGTAAAATCAGTCTGTATATGCAGTAAAGCATGCTTGTTATACTCACTCTGGAACTTAGGGGGTTAATCCTCTGCTTTGTGTAAAAAGGATATTTGATCCTGTCTTCTCTGATCCTCCCCTTTTTTCCACATTCCCCATTTCATCTCCTGATAGAATACAGCCTTGGGGACACTTTGCACGTGCTCAGTTTGGTGTGTACTGCTAGAGAGTTTTTTCTTTCTTCTTGGGAGGGTGCATGTGATCAGCACAGGGTCAATCAGTGCTGTCCAGACAGAGGGTCAGGGGTTATTCAATCTCATAGGGCAGTGAGAGGAGAATGAAAACTTCTCCTACAAGCTTTAACCAGTGCTCTGCTGGACACTGATAGAAGTCACAAGACTACTAACTGCTGATGAAAAAAGGTATATAGTAGTTTATATTTACTAAAATAATTGCATTTCCATGTTCTGTGTACTGTGGGAGACCAGATATAGTGAGTGCAGGGTCCGGGGTTTAGTAACACTTTAAAGAAAACAAATATGCTGCAATTTAATAGATTGTCCTATGATTGTTGAGTCAAGTTTTAATGCAGCTTTCATATATGTACACTCACACAGATCGCAGATTCTGACTAGAGATGAGCGAATTATTCAAAAATTTGATTCGGCTGATTCGCCGAATTACGGAATAAATTTGATTCGATGCGAATTTATTCGCTGCGAATTTACAAAAGGGGCTTCAAGACTTTATTGAATTAGTCACTGTACCTGTAATTTGAAAATGCTTGGAGTCTGCTAAATACTGCAGTCAGTATGACATGCAGAAGATGAGTGCCTTCTTGACCGCACACTCACTCATTTGGGCTCACGGGGCCAAAACCCTGGAGCCACATTGTGGCCAGCAGCAATGAGGAGGTACAGCATCCCTATGACAAAAATGGAACCCACCAGCAGTGTGTAAGGAGACTGAAAAGTTGCACATGGCAGAGGGTGAGCAGAGTGTTGGCGATGACAGCAAATGGGAGGCCGTACGGGACCCATGACACACTCTGGACTGCAGCATTAGGAGGCGGTACAGGGGCCAAAACTGGCAGATTACGGGCCTGGCAGCATCAATGGGAGGCCCGTAATCCCAGCACCCTATGACAAAATGGAATCACCAGCAGTGTGAGGAGACCTGAAAGTGGCACATGGCAGAGTGTGGCGATGGAGACAGCAGCAATGGGAGGCCGTACAGGGATACCCTTGAGAATGGACACTTTGCGCATGAGGAGGCTGGCCCATGCATTTACGGGAGCAGCAATGGGGCCAATGGCAGATTTACGGGCCTGGCAGCAGAGATTTTTTTCTAGCTTCCCTATGACAAAAAATAACACACCAGCAGTGTGAGGAGACCTGAAAGTGGCACATGGCATGAGACACTGTGGACCTAGCAGCATGAGGAGGCGGTACAGCAGACTGGCAGCAGCAATGGGGCCCGTAAATCTGCCAGTGCAAAAATGGAACCCACCAGCAGTGTGAGGAGAGTTCAGGGAAAGTGGCCACATGGCAGAGTGTGGCGATGGAGACAGCAGCAATAGGAGGCCGTACAGGGACCCATGACACACTCTGGACCTGGCAGCAGCAAGAGGAGTACAGGGGCCCATGGCAGATGCGAAGCGTAAGCACTTAAATTGAAGGTTTTACAAGGCCTATGTTAAAAAGTCCCCCCAGCAGCAGTGTGGGGGAGACGACTATAAAGATTCCAAACCATGTGCTCTGCTGAAGACACTGATGAAGAAGAAGAAGAAGAAGAAGATGAGGATGAGGAAGAAGAAGAATATATAGGATGAAGAAGAAGATGAAAAGAAAGGGTAGGATAGTAGAAGAAGTAGATGAAGAAGAAGAAGACGAAGAAGAAGAAGAGGATGAGGATGAAGAAGAAGAATAAGAAGAAGAAGAAGAGGATGAAGGATGAGGAGGAAGAAGAAGAGATGAGGATGAGGATTAGAAGAAGAAGAAGGAAGAGGAAGAGGATGAGGAAGAAGAAGAAGAAGAGAGGATGAGGATGAGGCAGAAGAAGAAGAGGATCCATGTTCTGTGACTGTGGGATGCAGGATAGAAGAAGAAGAAGAAGAAGAAGAAGATGAGGATGAGGATGAGGTCCTGAGGTGAGGATGAAGAAGAAGAAGAAGAGGATGAGGATGAAGAAGAAGATGAGGATGAAGAAGAAGAAGAAGAAGAAGAGGATGAGGATGAAGAAGAAGAAGAAGAAGAATAAGGGATGAGGATGAGGAAGAAGAAGAAGAAGAAGAGGATCCCTTGAGGATGAAGAAGAAGAAGTAGATAGAAGAGGATGAGGATGAAGAATAAGAGAAAAAGAAGAAGAAGAAGGATAGGAAGAAGAAGCAGAAGAAAAAGAAGAAGCTTCAAGAAGAGGATGAGGATGAAGAAGAGGAAATGAAGAAAGAAGAGGATGATGGTGAGGAAGAAGAAGAAGAAGAAGAAGGAAAAAGAAGAGGATGAGGATGATGATTGAAGAAGAAGAAGAAGAAGAAGAGAGAAGAGGATGGGAAGAAGAAGAAGAAGAAGAAGAAGATGGTGAAGAAGAAGAGGATGAGGATGATGATTTCAGAAGAAGAAGAGGATGAGGGGAAGAAGAAGAGGAATGAAGAAGCTTTCAGAAGAAGAAGAAGAAGAGGAAGAGGATGTGAAGAAGAAGAAGAGGACTGAAGAGAAGAAGACAGATGAAGAAGAAGAGGAAGAAGCAGAGTTCTGACCACAGCAAAAATGTAGCTCCGCTATTTCTGACTCTCTGACTTCATTTACAGCGGTTTGGTATCTATTTTTTTCCGAATATCTGTATTAAAGGAAACAAATAGATACAATGTCAATGAAATGTGGCGGGAACTGTCAGAGAACTGTCAGAAATAGCGGAGCTCTCTGCAGGGACACTTTTTCTGAAAATCGGCTACCGATCGGGGGAAAATTCAATTCGTGCATCCGAAGTTTGCTAATTTTCGGATTCGGCTTCGAATCGAATTTTTCCTAATATTCGGAATTCCACTTTTGCGAAGTTCGATTCGCTCATCTTAATTCTGACCACAGAAAATTACTCCTTCAATTAGGAATTTTAAAGGAAACTTGTCATGAAATGTGGCGGCTATGACTGCTGACCTGACTTCTGAAAATGCAAGCTGCCTGGCTCTCACACGTATACTCTTGTTTCAATATTGTGAGTTGCTGACCAAACAGGCTTGCTGAAAAGGACTTCTGACTTTTCTCTGACTTTCCCGAATGGTATACTTTTTCCCCAAGAGTCAGAAAATTCCAAAGCCAATCACCATAACCCAAGCAAGAAGTATCTTCAGAGGGGGAGCAGAGTAATAACAAAGTGAAAAATGTAAAGTATAATATACCCAAAGCTGAAATCTAATTATCTTAATCATCACCTACTAATTTCTAAAAGTGCACCATTTACCTATTCTTAACCTACTTCCTTTTCATAGACTAAATAGCTGATAATCCTGCCAGTTTAAGGCTCCATGTACATGGGACGTTTGGAAAACACTTCTGAATGATGGAAACTGACTGCTGGAAAACGTAGGTAAAAAAACGTTTGTTTAGCCGTGTTTGCATACCGCGTTTATGTGCATTTATGAGCGTTTGCGTTTAGAAGCGTTTTTTTTTTTTTAAAGAAAACCTCAGGAGACCTTCCCAAATGCCCAGAATGCACTGAAAAACAGTAAAAATGTAACTAGTTCAGACATTTTGAGAGAAATAAAGAGAGCAGAAGCAGAGAGAGCAGTATTTGTTGAGATTAGCAGTTTTTTTTTTGTGGTGTTTGAATGTGTTTCAGCTCATTTCTGTGCAGACATTATTGCAGAAGTGTCTAACATATTTTCTTTCATGCGAAACCTCAAAGTATGGTGTACCAGGTCCATTTGAGTACCGGAAAAATGCTTTGCATGCATTTTTCATGATGAAAAAAGGTTCTGGACAGCATCTGGAAATGGAAGAGTTAAAAAGTTTCCAAACGCAAACGCTTATAAACACGGTTAGCCGCATTTACAAGGGTTTGTCATTTGAAATGCTGATAAAATCTACTCCTGAACTCAAGTTTGTTGCGTTCAAAAAAACGACTGTAAACTCAACTGCCTGTAAACGATTGTAAACGACATAGTGTACATGGACACATAGGAAAACATTAGGGAGAGTTCAGGGGCTGCTACAAAAAATGCAGAAAAGCTCCTAAACGTGAGTTATCAGCTGCAGTGTACATGGAGCCTAAAAGACCCTTTCTGCTGTAGGGTGACAATGCTTCAGGGCATGCAGTGAATTCTCTGCAGTGTTGTCACCCCTAGCAGCTTGTACTACAGGGCTGCATCTATACACAGATAACTCTCCCTGCCAATCAGCAAATATATCCAACTGAAGGTGATGGCTCAGGGCACCAGCTTGGCCTTTGCAGTCCTCTTGATGATGTCAAAGGGGCAAATAGAAGGATTCCTTCTCTTCCAGGGAAAATGTAATAAACAAACTAGGGCATTTGTATACAGATGGTGTGCAGTTTACCAATGAAAACAAAATACGTTTTAACGGGGAGGGGCTTTAAAGTGTGTTTCCACTTTTGCAGCCAAATTGGGATAATGCCCACTTTATATTTCAATCATGTTCTCATTTGTACTTAAAAATAAAAAAAATATTTAAAAATTGCAGTTTATTTTTATTGACATTCTTCTCTGTAAACTCCAGAAATGAAAAAGCCTACATAGGTCTCTTTGTTTATGAGTGGGATGGGGAGCTGTGTTTTCTATAATTAACCCTGTCTACACTTTGCTGGCAGATCTCATTAGCAGTTGTAAATTAGATCTGAGCATTGTATATCCTAACAAAGTTAATGAGAGTAAGCTGAGTCTGACCTTAGCGTTTCTATTGTAACAGATTCAATCTGAACTTGCTCAGGCGAAAGATGTGTATTTTTCTGGAAAAAAAAAAAGGTACAGGTAGTGGAGCGGAGGAGGGGTGGACTTGGGGTACTTTCAGTTTATGGGTGAAGACCTGCTTTACCAAATAGAAAACCACACAAATTATGTGTCACTAGCCATGGCAGTTTGTTTTGACTGCTTTTACAGACTTTTAAAAAATAAAGTAGATATCTATTTTTTTTCTAATCATCGATCATTAATTTGTCAAAAAAAAGCAACTCCTGCTGCAATCACTTCTTCAGTACTGTCTCCAGAAGACTCCTCACTCTTGATCCTGGCTGACACTCTCCTTCTGGGATATAGGACTACAGGCATCATCTGACCACTTCCTGTGAACCCTGGCTGTTAAAGACATGCCCCCCCTGAACTCACAGTCAGGGGCGGACTGACCATTCGAGCACTCGGGCACTGGCCGAGGGCCCGGGGTCAGTAGGGGGCCCCATTAAATGCCCCTGGTATCTTTTTATAGGCTTTTTTGGGTGTGCTTTGAGTGTGGGCAAGGACACAGGGGCCCCATGATCCCCTTTTGCCTGGGGCCCCCATGAGTTGTCAGTCTGCTCCTGCTCACAGTACTCCTGGAGTGAACAACGATCACATATTATTACATGGAGAACACTCAGCCCACAAGGAAGAAGAAGCCACCACCTCTGTCAACGGAAGAATACAAAAGACCCCTAATATCACCTAGCCTGAAGACTGCAGGGATAATAGGATGAATACCGGGGGGGGTTGCAAAGATAGGTGAGCAGAAGTTGGAGGATGGGATTCAAGATGGAATCCTGCTTTAACCACTTGGAGGCCACCCGCCTGCAATGTACTGCGGCAGCTGCTGTAGGCAAAGCGACGTACTTGTAAGTAGATGCCTAAGTCTGGGTTTAGTAGTAGTTGATTGTATACAGCGGGAACCTGTCAGCAAGTCACGCCCAATGTTTCACGGCTGGGTCCTGCTGATAGGCTGTGTGCAATCACAGCACGGAGCTTTGTGTTGGTAAACAACACAGAGCTCAGTACAGAGGGAGTGATCTGTCAGTTTCTCATCCCTGCTTGCTCATTGCACTCCTGTTATAAGTTGCTGATCATGACTTAGATTATTAGTATAAAAAAAAAATTTAAATTCCAGTGTGCAAACCAGTTTGTAGATGCCATAACTTTCACACAAACCAATCAATATACACTTATTGGAATTTTTTTTTTACCAAAGCCATGTAGCAGAATACATTTTGGCCTAAATTTATGAAGAAATTAGATTTTTTTTAATTGGATATGTTTTATTGCAGAAAGTAAAACAGATTGTGTTTTTTGTGTACATTTTTTTTTCCATTTATATCTCAAAAAATAAAATACCCACTGGTGATCAAATACCACCAAGAGAAAGCTCTATTTGTGTGAAACAATTATATAAATTTCTTTTGGGTACAGTGTTGCATGACCGCACAATTACCAGTTAAAGTAGAGCAGTGCGGAATAGCAAAAAATGTCCTGGTCACGAAGGGGGTAATATCATTTGGAACTCAAGTGGTTAAATAAGGTTTGTTTGGCACAAAATGGAACAGGATCTGACACACTACAGGATACTTACAAAAGGTTTACAATGAAATAGGAATGCAATCTGAATGTTTTAGGGCTCATGTACACTACAGCTGATAAACTCACATTTAGGAGCTGTTCAGCGTTTCTTTCAGCAGCCCCTGAACTCACCCTAATGTTTTCCTATGTGTCCATGTACACATCTTCGTTTACAGTAGTTTACAGGCATTTGAGTTTACAGTTGATTTTTTGAACACAGAAAACTTGTGTTCAGCAGTCGCTATTATCAGCATTTCAAATGAAAAACGGTTGTAAATGTGGCTAAACGCGGCAAATCTCATTTACAAGCGTTTGCGGTTGAAATTTTTTTTTAACTCTTCCAGTTCCCGATGCTGTCCAGAGCCATTTTTCACCATGAAAAATGCATAAAAAGCATTTTCAAGGTACTCAGATGGACAAAACACTGAACACTGGATGTTCCCACCAAGCTTTTCGCACATGGTAATGACCAATTCACACTTCAGACCTCTCCCACCCTTGGAAACAAAAGATATGTTAATGACCATTCACACCTCAAATTCCTCATGAAGACCCCCTGCCAGGTGGCCTTAATGACTCCCTCCACCAGACACCTTTCCCACCCTTGGAAACAAAAGAAATGTTAATGAGCAACTCATACCTAAACTAATCTCAACATGTACTTCTGTCTCTGCTTCTACTCTCTGTATTTCTCTGAAACAGTCTGAAATAGTTAATAATTTACCACTTTTCAGTGCATTCTGGGCATTTGGGAGGTTCTCCTGTGCTTATCTTTAAAAAACATTTCTAAACGCACAAGCACATAAATGCGCATAAACACGTCATGCAAACACAGCTAAACAGACATTTTTTAACCTACGTTTTCCAGCAGTCAGTTTCCATCGTTCAGAAGTGTCCCGTGTACATAGGGCCTTAAGAATTACAATACACCAGAAAATGCATCTACTCCTAAAATTGCTCATGACAAGACACACATTTGCTGGTTATTTTAAAGGAGACCTTAAGAACTAGAAGTCAGATGGAATTTTCTTTACGAAAGCAAACCTATATGAAGCCACCTTTCATAATGGTTTGAACAACGCCACTAACAATGTGGTCAGCACTAGAATGTCGTTCAGCTTTAATGGTATCTATTTTACCACTTGATAGTGTCTGAAGTCCAACCTATTGTCCAGTGACCGCAGTGTGGAATTACTGGGCAGCCTCATCAAATATATGACAGCTAATCTCAGGGAACATAGTTCAGGGGGGAGCCTGCCCTCCACTTTATCTCTAGGAGCTTTGTTACACATCGGCATAGTGAAACTGATCATTGAAGTTGTTTCCCAATACTGAATGGGAACAGGACAAAAGCAAGCTTGGGAAGCCTGCCTTACAGCTGGACTCTAGGAATTATTTGTATTGTATAGTTACATTGGTTCAGTTGGCACAATGGAAGTATGGATATGTAAGCCGTGTACCGGGGTGGGCTCCCCAGGATACAGTGAAGTCACAAACGAGGAAAGCAACCCCAACACCAGATTTCCCACAACAGAATGTTACTTAGATGTGGCAAATAAACACAACCACAAATGCTGAGAACATACAATTAAATTTACATACACCCAGCCCAAAGGCTGAGACCCTTGTGCTGCACAGCACGGCGCCTCCTGATGGATGAAGGTAGAAAGTGAAGTAATTTACCTACTGGCGGGCACAACTAAGCTGCCACACCTTACCTGTTATTACCCTAAAAGAGCAGGAATCAGTGTATGGGTGTATGGTATGGGCTAGCCTGCGGTGCAGCACAACAGCTTACAGTCTTACACAAATCTACAGTATTCCCCCTCCCATAACTGGTCCTGTAGCACGTGCCTGAGTATTCCTTCTGAGCAAAACGCCAGTCTGGCTTGAGTTTGTAGGATTTTATCAGCTCTCCAATGTGAAATGTCACTTTAAGTTGTGGAGTCCTTCCAATAATCAGTAACAACACTTGTGGCCTGACAAAAACAGAGACCCTAACTAACTAACTATAGGCCTGGACTTAGTCTCAAGGCGCCAACACTGAAATGAGGTGTGTGCACGATCTTACCGACCTGGGTCTGCTTTTCATCCACTGGTGACTCTGAACAGAACAAATGTCTCTCCAACAAGCATGCGGTCTCGCCGTATATGTTGCTTAGTTCCTCTGCTCTCATCAGCCTTCCTGGCAGCAATCTGATCAGCATTCCTGGCAGCAATCTCATCAGCTTCCTGGCAGCAATCTCATCAGCTTCCTGGCAGCAATCTCATCAGCTTCACTCAGCTGCAGCTCTGGTTACTGAGGGACGCATTCACACCTGGATGTCATCAAATTCTCAGCTCACACGGCCCCTTATTCACCATGCTCCAAAACATGGCTTCTCCCTCTCCTTCCTGTTCTCTCCAACTCTGTGTGTAAAACCCCACCTCTTCATGAATATACAAATATCTATGCAGTCTGAGGCTGTGTTAGAAAAACAGTGACATCTTGTGGCTAAACCGCAGAATGTCAGTCAATACATTAATTTACTTCCACACAAACAGTGTTCAAACAATGAGAGCTGTTTCCCCATCTCACAGATATCTCATACCTGATGGACCATTGGGGAAGTTGAAAAATACTAGCTGACACTGCTATGGTGACAACAATGATCCTCTGGGTCCTGTTGGGTTTCCCCTCTGCACACTGAGCACAGGGGGTCGCTTGGGTAGCACTGAGGCCATTCATAAAACACCTTGTGGTTGATTTACTAAAATGGAGAGCGCAAAATATGGTGCAGCTCTGCATAAAAAACAATCAGCTTCTATTTTTATTGTCAAGGCCTAAAGTGTTACTAAACCCACAACAACAAAATCAGTCTGTATATGCAGTAAAGCACCCTTGTTATACTCACTATGGAACCTAAGGGGTTAATTCTCCACATTGTGTAAAAAATATGTTCGATTCTGTCTTCTCTGATCCTCCCTTTCTTCTACTGTCCCCAATCCATCTGCTGACAGTACAGAGCTCTAGGAGTCACTCTGCACATGCTCAGTTTGGTGTGTATTGCTAGAGAGTTTTTTTTTCTTTGGGAGGGTGCATATGATCGGCACCGGGCCAATCAGGGTTGTCCAGACAGAGGGTCAGGGGTCATGCAGCCTATTAGGAGAGTCAGAGTAGAATGAAAACTCCTCCTACAAGCTTAACCAGTGATCAGCTGGACACTGATAGAAGTCACAAGCTATATACTGCTGATAAGAAAAGGTATTTAGCAGTTTATATATACTAAAATAATTGCATTTCCATGTTCTGTGTACTGTGGGAGACCAGATATAGTCCTGGGAGACCAAATATAGGTCTTGTGTTTAGTAACACTTTAATTGAATGAGCTGAAGTTAGAAGCTGATTGGCTACCATGCACAGCTGCATCAGATTTTGCACTCTCCACTTTTAGTAAATCAGCCCCCTTGCATTTTTTCAATGAATATAAAGCTTGTTATGATTGGATGAGGTGGACGTTGTAACATCACTGCCCCTCTTCTCCACCACATCCTATCAGAGAATGTCTTGTATTCACTTAAATTGTTACTAAACCCAGGACCCTACATTCACTATATCTGGTCTGCCGCAGTACACAGAACTTGGAAATTATTTTCGTAGATATAAACTGCTAAATACCTTTTCTCATCAGCAGTTAGAGAAGTCTTGTGACCTTTATCAGTGTTCAGCAGAGCACTGGTTAAAGCTTGTAGGAGGAGTTTTTCTTTCTGCTCTAGGAGGATGCAAAACCCCTGATCTCTGTCTGGACAGCGCTGAATGGCCATGTGCTCATCACATGTACTCTCCCCAAAAAAAAAAAACTTTTTTACAATACACACTAAACTGAGCATGTGCAGAGTGTCTCCACACGTAATGTTTTATCAGGAGATAAGAGGGGGACACTGGAAGAAGGGGAGGATCAGAGAAGTCAGGATCAAACAGTGTTTTTACACAATGTGGAGGATTAACCCCTTAGAATCCACAGTGAGTATAACAAGCATGCATTACTGTATATACAGACTGATTTTACTGTTGTGGGTATAGTAGCACTTTAAAGAAATACAAGATGTTCCATGAAGTGCCAAGCAAGCGACTTACCTTCAGTGGTCTCTCTGTGTAGCGCTGGCTGCTACAGTGATTTCCAACTTTCCATCACCTGGGATGAGATATACACACTTACATGTGCCAAGCTGGACCAACAACAACTACTGGAGTTTAGTTTTAAAGCAAAACTTTTGCAAGGATCACACAAAGAAAAAAGATCCTGCAGCTGCATAATACACAACTTAAACTGCTATAATTGACCTGTGCCTGCTCACTGCCCTACTCCACCACAGTGGCACCTAGAAATATTCAGACTTCTGGGTAAGGGGCTAATGCACAATCTATCCCCCCCACCCTGTCCTGAAAAAAACAGTGCTGGATCCTTAGTGACCTATCACCTACTTGAGCACTACAACATAGGGACGTGCGTTGTTATACGCAAATACTGACTTAAAATGAAAGCAGTTGTAAACAGTTGTACACAGAGATGAATCAAATCATCCTATATAAGTCTCGGCTCTAAAAAGCAGGCAGTGGGGAGTTTATATTACACATTTCAGAGCTCAGTGAGGAGTGCTAAGAGCTGAGTGTAGGGAAGGGACACACCCCACTTCACACAGCACACAGGAACAGAGCTGAGGCTGTCAATCACAGGCTGTGTACTGGAGTTCCCTCCCCTGTCCCCATTTTTCTCTTGGTGTCAGGAAAACTTGTCAGAAGTGGTTCATGCTGATAGCAGAGGAACAAAGCAGCAGCCAGAAATGACACTTGGGGGTTATTTACTAAAACTGGACATTGCCAAATCTGGTGCAACTCTGCATTGAAACCAATCAGCATCCAGGCTTTATTACTAAAGCTTAAGTGAACACGCTGAAGTTATAAGCTGATTGGCTACCATGCACAGCTGCTCTACATTCTGAGTGCTCCAGTTTTTAGTAAATCCCCCTTAGTGCTCTTAATTGAGACAAGTATGCACTATAAAGACGTATACTTTGTTCATATTTCATGATTGAGGTTTCCAGCCACTTTAAATATTGCCATAGTATCCTTGCAGGATCTGCAGTGGAGGATCAGGATGACAGGTAAGCTCATTGGAGGTACTGCGTGACCATTCATAAACCTAGGCTTTTAGGGTTGTTCACACCATAGAAACGCACTCCGGGTGCGGATGAATTTCTCCCGTGCACATTTTTGATGCATTTTTTAATGCATTCCAGTTTATTTTTAATGCTTCTTTGTTGCGTGCCGGTGCATTTTTCCCCTCTAACGCCCAAGCACAATTTTGCAACTTTGACATGTGTTAGCAAAACCATACATATCATCACAACTACTTTGTGCATCTAGGTGGTTTATACCTGGTTTTTATCAGGACAAATTGGGCTTTCATTTGATGGTAAGTGGTAATGGATATCTCCAGATTTTTTTTTTTTATTATCAAAGGAAAAGTGACCCAAAATAGTGAAAAAAAACATTTTTTTAAATTTAGCTGTATATTTCTTGCTACTATCATAACCTACCACCAAAGAACAACACAAAATAATTTCTCCTGCTCCTGATGATCACAGCGATACCACATCTGTGTATGTTAGTTGTGTCTACTGGTAGTACAGCCCAGCAACAATAGCGTGCAATTTGCTTTTTTTTTTTTTTATAATTCTGCCACTAACTGACACTGATACAAGTTTACTAATTAAAAAAAAACCTTGAGCCCCCCCCCCCCCCAAAAAAAAAAAATGACTATGACTCTTGACCCTGACCTTTGACCCTGACCTTGACCAAAACACTAACCCTGGTACAGACCTAGATCAAACCTTGATCTAGGTATTTTTTGTTTATTATTATTATTTGTTTTATTTTATTTTTACACACACTTTTTTTTCTCTCTGAAAGGACAGAGAGAGATACAATGTATCTCTCTCCTCCATTCAGAGAGAGAAAACAAATAGGGAAGGCTTCACAGTGACTGATCACTGTGATAGTCAATCAAAGGCTATCACAGCGATCAAGTGACCCGGAATTGGGAGTTCCGAGTCCCGATCATTAGAACAGGACCCAGGACTCTCAGTGACATCCCGGTGCTGGGAGTGTGCCATGCTGCGCGCTCCCAGCAGAAAGACAGGTGTGCAAATTAGCAGCCCCATAGAAAAAAGCCCAGTTCTGTGAGGCTGCTAATTTGCGTGCGGTCAGCATCAAGGGGTTAAATAAGGACATGTGCGTTCCATTTTTGATGCATTTAGGTGTGCTTTTATGCATTTTACCGTGTTCTAGTACAGTTAAGTGCAGAAAAAAATGTAGCTTGTACAGTATTTTTTTCTGCAACTGGAAAGTACTGAAACTGACCACACTGGTGTGAACTATGCTATTGGAACCCATATAACGTACTATCCATGTGTATTTGAAGCAGAAAAAATGCACTAGACTGCATATAATGTGAAGCGGCTCTTAGGGGTTGAATGGAATAAGAAAAGGTTTAAAAACCATTAGGTGTTTTTTTGTTGTCTATGTCCTGCTAAGGAGATTTCCCTTCACTTATCGTCCTGGAGAAGCAACAGGAAATAAGAAGAAATCTCCCCAAAGTGAGATGACATGGAGTGGTAAGGGGTTAGAACCTCTGTTGGGTTTTCTTCTCTGTCCTATCTAGGAGGATGCACCCTCTCCATTTGTCCTGGTGATCACTATCTTCGATAAAGAAAATAATGAGAAATGCAAAAATTTAGAGCTGTCACTGAAACAGGAAGTTAGGGTAAATCTCAAATTTCAGATTTGCAGATTTTTGCTCACTTTTGAGAGACCTCCTCTTGCTCCCTGTTATGTCTGCGTGACAGAACAATAAGGTAAATCTCTTCAATTGGACAGAAAAACCCGACCAGAATATATTCTCTTCTCTATTAAAAAAAAAAGACATACAGTTGAACATGCCTTTCAAAATAGCAAAAAAAAATATTTCTAATATAATAATATATTTTGTATGATGTACAATCTGCAGCTGTGCTCCACACATTACTGGAAGATGTATGACATTACCTACAGAAATATATGATACGTTACCATGGTATATAGTCTGTAAATCTGTCTTCACTCACTTATTCACTGTTATTGCTTTCAGGTTGGAAAGGATTACAGAGTGAATCCCAATTTTATTAAGTAGCACCCTGGTTCAGTGATAGATAAACAAATCATTTTCTTTAATTTCAACTACTTCTTCTAGAAGCCTTTAAGCACAGCCCAAGCACTGGATAGGCAGTATGTATCAACAGAGATTTGTTCTTCTTTACTCAAAGTTATGAAAATCAATAAATATATTTTAGCGCTTCTAGATGGATGCCGGGCAAAGGAGAACAAATGTAAAATAAAGTCACTTTTTTTTTACTGTAATTGTAAATTTTGTATTATTGTTGCTGTATAATTTAATGAGATCAATGTTTTCATGTACAATAAATATAGATGGTATTTTTTTATAGCGAAACTTCACTCTCTCAATCAACATGGACTATTTTTATTCCCTGTGCCACTAGCATTAATAAATAGATAGGAAAGTATATCATATTTTTAAACTTTTTTTTTTTTACTTTTCTTCAGTTGCTTCCTGGTTTCCATGCCTAGGCAAAGGATGTCATACATCCCAAGAGTTTTCGGGAGGGGAGGAAGGGTTTTCTCAGCTAAGCACACCCACGCCCACCTGTCTGCATGCCTGAGCTAAGGGCAGATGGATTCCAGGAAGTAAATGTACATGAATCATTTACTCAAGATGGCCACAAACAGAAATGCTGGGTGGGGGGGGGGGGGAGGGTGTTTTCAAAGTGATTTTTAGCAAAATAAAGCTTGGAGACATGAATGGATGGGTGAGCTGACTTCGTATATTAAAAAAAAAATTACATAGCATTTTTGGTTTCTGGTGCTCAGATGAAGTGTAGTTCCACTTTAAGTGCTCCTTTTTGCCGCATCTGCTCCAAAAATGCACCGGAGCAGCTCCTGTACCTTTTTTTGGAGCCAACTTTGGAGCCTTTTGTCACATGAACAAATGCCTGATTCTTTTGCTCATTTGGGGTGCCATTAATAATAATGGCACCCAAATGTGCATTGCGCGATTTGCTGGAATTTTACCATGTTTGGGAGTTGCGGGTAAAATTTGCAATTCTGCTGGCAATTCTACAATGCCCAGATGTGAACGGGGCCTACCTTATTCTCAAAAATAATCCAATCCATGCACATCCATTACTTAACGGCTCTTTAATCTATTTTTCATTAAAGGGGTTCTAAAGTCCAAAGTTTTTTTCACCTTATTGCATTCTGTGCATTAGGGTAAAACACACCCCACTATTTCTTCCAGAACATAAGACCCCTCCATTGCCAACAGACCCCCCCCCCAACAACCATAGTTTCCCCCAGCAACTATGAATTCCCTGCAATAAAATGGCCCCCAGCCAGGGACGGACTGACAACTCATGCAGCGTCAGCCCCCCCAGGCAAAAGGGGATCATGGGGCCCCTGTGTCCTTGGCCAAACTCAAAAAAGACTATGAAAAAGGTACCATGGGCATTTCATGGGACCCCCCTACTGACCCCATGGGGGCCCTCGGGCAGTCCCTGAGTTTCCAAATGGTCAGTCCACCCCTGCCCCCAGCAACAATAAATCCACCCCAGCAATAACAGTTTCCCTGCCAGCAACAATAAATCCCTCAGTAGCCAGCAAAAGTAGACACTCCAGCACCCCATTACATAAATCAAGTTCTGGAGGTGCCAGAACTGAGTTCCCCTGTGAAAAAAAGCCCTGTGTAAATATCTCATGAACTGTCCATTGGTATTGCTTTTACATGTGGATTACCAAATAATCAGTGAGTTTTTTTTTCCTGCCATGCTCATAGTGAAGACAGAAAGAGATCATGTTTTGCTTCAGTTGTCTGCCCACCAACATGCAGGAAGAACATAAATCTTGGAAGTAAGTGAATCTATTACATTTTAGTCATGAAGGACGTTGGATAAATGTAAAGGTAAATGATA